TCTGCTGATCCGATGGTCCGATGGTCTGCTGATCCGATGGTCCGATGGTCTGCTGATCCGATGGTCCGATGGTCTGCTGATCCGACGGTCCGATTATCCGCTGGTCTGCTGATCCGATGGTCCGATGGTCTGCTGATCTGATGGTCCGATGATCCGATATGGTCTGCTGATCCGATGGTCCGATGGTCTGCTGATCCGATGGTCCGATAATCCGATGGTCTGCTGATCCGATGGTCCGATGATCCAATGGTCTGCTGATCCGATGGTCCGGTCTGCTGATCCGATGGTCCGATTGTCTGCAGACGGGCATGAGGGGCTGTGAGCATAATCCCATAGAAATCCGTGTTATATTTTTTTTTTAATTACTGCCCTTTCAAGCCGCTACTAAACTACCAACATGGCCGATTTTGGAGGTATTTTTCATTAATATATATATATATAGGTTCAAAAAACAACCGTAACTGCCCACCTCTGTCCACCCTGTCTATCCACCATGACACGCCGCGCTTACACCAGCAGGCTTTCCTTCCCCCAATGGCACGGACTCACGCAAACGCACTTGCCACCGAGGTCATGCAACACCGCATGGCACAGCGACATCACCTTTCGAAAGCTTTAGCTGTTAGTCTACTGAAGAATCACTATTCTAATCAAGGTTTTTGTGTAGGGGAAAAGGAAGACCCTTCGATCTGGAGGTTTTTTGCATTTTTGATACGAGTTTAATAAAGGATTTTATACAAAATTTTCCTGGATTACTTTTTTGGTTTTGAAACTCTTTCCAGGTGACCCTATTTTGGATCCCCCGATTTCAGGGACCCCCTATTAGCAAAAATGCGACCCAGGTTTCCTTATTAGGGGGGGGTTTTGATAGGTGGAAGGGATTAGAACTAGCAAGGAATCGTTGAAATCGGACGCAGCCATAGAAGCAGGATTTAAAGCTATTGGAAGATTACCCAACTTTTAGGATACTTGAGGAACCAGCATCGTAAGCATGACAGGCGTCATGGTCATCAAGTTAGAATGTGTCACGGATATATATTGGTTGCAAATTAGTACGCTCCCTGTGGAAAAACTATAATATACATATCTGAGCATCTGCTTGCAACTGGCTGAGAACCAGACAAAAAGGTATCCTGCACTGGACATATGTTCTTCCATAGTGAGCACAGGCGGCGGCTGCACGGTTCCATCATCGTCTTTGGTGTATTCGGCTGCGCCACGAACGTTCTCGTAGATGCTGATTTCAGGCTGCAACAGTTCAACAACCTCATGGTTTTTGCAACACAATAGCGCATGGGGTAGACTTAGAATGCTGCTTGCTGATCCCTCCTCTATAGAACAGGTGTGTGTGTGTGTCACGGCTTCAAACCAGTTGCTGGTTCCGGTCATGTCCCGGTTCTACAGTAGGAAAGAAGTCGGGTCCATATATAAAAACAACAAATATAAAAACACTTCTAAAGCACACTCTAGGTTCCGCTTTCCAGCCATGACGGTATGTATATCCGCTCTCGCCAAACTGTTCATGAACTGGTCGCTGGTAGCATCCACTGTGAACCTTTGTCAGGTTGCACAGTTTACTGAGGTTTTTGCAGCTGGGGCCTCCCAAAAATATGTGAACGCTGCATGTCTCCTGGGTGATGTTGTGTTCTTTCGAACACTTGTAGCAATACCCTTTGCCCTTGGAAAATGCATTGACGTCGCCAAAGCAGTGCTGAATTTCTGGATGGTCCATCAGGATGACATTACGCTTTTGCTCATCCAGCTCGCAAGAGAAAATGTGGTGGACGCCAATGTTGGTGCCCTGGTGTATCAAAAAATGACCCCTACAGCCGACTGAAGAAAACATCAAAATTTCGGACTGAAACTTAGAATGTGTCCGGATCCGGCAAACCTTATGAGTGAGCTGCATTATATATATATATATATGTATACGGTATGTATATATATATATGAAAAATATATACATATATTTATGCGCAGAGAAACAACAGGGGCCTCCATCATATTCAGGGCTGCGATCGTCTTCCTCACCACCGTCACAGCAATATCGGTGCCTGAACATGTAGTGCCAATGCGAAGGTTTTTTCCATCTAGAGAACGCAATAGCTCTGACAGTGTAGATCGGTTCTCGGGGCTGAGCAAGTCCACAAAATGCATAGCCGTTTCCATCAAATCGGCATTGGGCGGGTGCTTGGCCACAGCAGTATCAAAACATGAACGCTGGAGGTAGAAACCAGAACTTCTCCTGGAAAGAATGCTGGTCGGGAAGTTGACTTTGGACGGCTCATCATAAAGATCCAGCTGCTCCACTTTCCACAGGTGGATCTTTTTCCACATATCCAACCTTGTCTTGTTCAGATCTTTGTCCAACATACTGCCACATGTGTCCAAAGCCTTCTTGGCTGCATTCTTACCAGAAATCTCTTCACTGGAAACCTGAAGCTGGGCAACACAGCTAAAGCCATAGTCTGTGTCACGAACAAGGACGACATATGGCGTTGTCAGGGCTTTGAAAGGACGGACCAGATGCTGTGCGTCTGTATGCACAAGAGCTTCAAGTTCCTTGTTCCGAAGGACAATGCAAAGAACTCCACTATCTACATCCATTTCATTGGGCTGATCATAGTTCTCAGTGGGATCTTCTGCCACAATTCCTGCATCTTGCGCGATGACACCTTGGCTGGAATTTGTGGTCGAGGAGCCTGAGTTAGAATGCTTCAAGACATCTGCCGAAGACCCTGAGTTTGGCTCATTCTTTGGCTTGGCCACCAAATCCTGACCAAGGTGGAAGGGCTGACGGGAAGAAGGTAGGTGTCGGACATGGAAGGTGAAACAGGAGTAGTTTCTACATGTGCATGAAGACTTTCGCACAGTGAGCACCTGGAAACAAGTGACTAAGTGTTGTCAAGCACACCCCCAGTCCTCCTGAGATAAATGCACCCAGACCTCGCACCCTTTCTTACTTTCAATATGTAGCGGCTGTGTCAGCTCATCAGCAAGCTCAAACTGCCAACCCCAACAAAAGTCTTCCTGTTTGGCCCACTTGCTCTTCAACGCGTTGTATTCCTCCTTTGATGCGCGGTGCAAATGATGAAAATCGTTGAACTTGTCATCAGGGATGCGGATGTTGCCCCAGAATCTCAGGGCTGCCAGGATCATCCATTTACCATCCACCGTCCCGATCAGCAACACACTGTCACCTGGATCTAGAAATCGTAAGCATTTTGAGCGAATCTCCAACGATTTGCGCACTTCTGGTGGAGCCACAAACTTGCTGGCATGCTTTGCCTGCACCAAAAGGCCAACAAATTTGCTCCCCTTCTTCTTGATCTGGGGCAGGACATCTCCCAAAAGCACCTGAAAATGTGCTTTGGAAGGTAGGAAACGCGGTCCATTTGAAGACTTGTGAGCAAATATATATATATATATACACATTATAATTATAACCCTCAAAAATACCGCTTCGTGATAACATCTTGAAATACACCGGAGATTGCAGAAAAAAAACTTGACTCATCATTATTGACTCCCTGGCCTCTTGCTTGGAGTCTTCAAGAAACGTCGGCTCTGGCGGGGTCTCCTGGCAACAGGCACGCAATGAATATCAATGTTTGTCACTGGACATGGCTACTTCTGCAGTGCATACCGTACCCGGAATCCATACTGTTCCAATCCCATACTGTTCACAAACTGAATGAAAGAGATTGCTTAAGTCGGATAATGAAACGCTGATTAGAAGCCCTATATGTAGGGATTGGGGATCTCCAACACTCCTGAACAGCAGACATTGGCACAGGAATCTCCGCCAGGTACTCACTTTGCATCTCCTGGATATCAAAAGTTGCGCATTCTAAGACTGAGGCGACTCGGTATTTTGGTGTCTTTGTTGTCCAAACATGAAGTTTCAAAGTTACAATGGTGCAAAACTTTCCGGAGTTTCTCTTGTCCTGCTTCTTCCTCGTTTGCACCCCCAAAACTGTCATTTTGACTCATCTCATTTCCTACAGTATCATTCCCTGGCCTTTTCCTCGATGTTTGGAAACACCACGGGCTCTGGCGGGGTCTCCTGGCAACACGCACAAAATGAATGTCAAATTTACAAGTCGTTTGCACATTCCTGCCAACTGCACACCAGCTTTATACTTCTGCAGTGCATATGTTCCCCGGAATCCATACTGTCCCACTTCTACCTTCAGGTAGCAAGCAAATTCTAAGCATCAAATGGCTTGCATTGAAATCGGTATGCATGCAGGTGCCCTCTCCTGAAGCATTCGGTCAATAAGCAATTGTTTCCCTGCTGCGTGGAAAGCTGCCTGGCACAAAGAAGAACGGTGAAACATCATGCCCCGCATGTGCATAAAGGCTGCCAAACTCATGAAGAATTGTTAGCGTTCTAGTCTTTGCGGATAAAGAACATGCACACAATCATTGCCTCCGAAGGGGAAGCGGGTTCACTCACGAGTCCCGCTTCTTCAGCAGCATCCTCCAACACTCAAAGGCACTCCCCAACAACTGCATTCATCACACCATACTCTTCATGATACACTCAAAGGCGCTCCTTCTCCGTCATTCGTTGCCACAGTCGTCTTCCGAATGCTATATCTGGATCTTCTCTGGCTCGGGCATGAAGTGATGCCTTTGCAGCTTCTGATTCTGGACATAGAATGCCAGCCACGCAGTGATACTCGCAATCAAAAAGATGAAATGGAGGCATGAGACGCCTATAATTATATATATATATTATATATATAGCTACGTATACCTGAGCCATGCCCAAAAATGTTCAATACCCATCATATATATATATATACATAAGAAATGACTGCATTCTATGTTAACAGTCCCGCCTGAACAGCAGGTATTGGCACTGGAATCTCCGCCTTGTTCTCGCTTTGGACCTCCTGAACATCGATTTGAACATATTTTAATACATTCTAAGACTGAGCAAACTCCGTATATTGGTGGATTTTCCAAGCAGGAAGTCTCAAACTTACAATACAAAACTTCCTAGAGTCTCTCCTTTTCCGCTTCTCCCTCCATGCTTGCATCCTGCCGTGGCACGTGCAAAGAGCCC